TATATAAGTGGGTGGATGGATGGTTGGTAGGGTGGGTATATAAGTGGGTGGATGGATGGTTGGTAGGGTGGGTATGTAAGTGGGTGGATGGATGGTTGGTAGGGTAGGTATATAAATGGATGGATGGATGGATAGATGGATGGATGAATGGATGGATTCATCCACCATTTCAGTCTAGATCAGAAACTGCAGGCTTCCACAGAGACCTGTAAAAACCTACTGCTTGAGCCACCTCTGTGGGGTGGAAATGGACTGCCTGGTTTGTTAGCAAACGTTCTCTTGACCTTAAATGCAACCCCCTGAGGCCAGGTCTCCAGCTATGAGGATGGTGATGCTTGTGGGTCCCCCAGTCCCATTCACTGTGGACATGGAGCATCTCCTTGGGGTGCAGTTGCTGAAATCAGGTGGAGGTGGGCTCCTGGGTGTGAGGGTTCTCCTCCCTGAAGTCGTTCAGTAGAAGGCGAACTCCCCCGACACACTCCCCCCCAACACAGTCCAACCAGAGGCTTGGTGAGTGGGTTGGAATCCACAAGCCTTTGGGACCTGAGGTTTCCCTGAGTGCCTGCCCATCAGTACTTAGAGAAGGATCCATGCTCTTGTCAGTGGACCTTCTGCAGAGTCAGGACAGGACAGCCTTCAGGAAGTGCGAGCCCAGCCCTTGAGCATCCCTCCCAGAAGAAGAGTTTCCAGCCAGAAGGAGGAGCCAGCAGGTGTGTGGGCCAGCGGGGCTCGGGGGGTGCAGGGCTCCGTCTTTGCAAAAGAAACCCTGTCCAGCCCCCGGGGGGTGCTCCTCTTCACCGGGCGGCTGTCTTCAGAACCCCTGGTTCTGACCTCTCACACGTGTGCCAGGCTGTGGACAAATTCGGGCTCATGTCCACATCTGTTGGCTGAAGGTGGTGTCCGCAGTTGAGGCTTGGGGTCGCTGAGGGGACTGCAGAGTGGCTGGGAAGGTGAGACTTAGGGTGCTTTGTAAGAACAGGATGGGGTGCTTGTTAGTGGGGCCCCAGCTGTCTTCCTAGGTGGCATGGAAGTGACTATGGCCTGAAATGGGAGCAGTTTCTGGAATGGGCGGGAGGAGGTCGGAAGGGCAGGGAGCAAAGGCTCTCACTGCTCTGGGTCTAAATCCTGCTCTTGAGCTGTCCAGCCAGCGTGGCCTCCCGCCCCCCAGGCCTGGGGTCAGGATGGAGGGGGAGGGCCGGAGTTGCAGTCAGCAGCACGTTACAGGCACTGGCACCTCACTAGGTGAGGGCAAAAGTTGCCCGCGTACCCTGACCCTGGGAACCGATTGTCATGAATGGCGCCTCTGCTCTCCAAGCGTCACTCTTACCAGGAGCCAGCGCTGGAGCACATGAGGAGGGGCCCTGTTATTGTGAAAGGAACCAGGGTCCCCACCAAGCAGACCCCGGCGGGCTCCCTGCCCCTGCCACGGCCCAGCTCTGAGTCTTGGGCTGGGTCATGGGTCCCTGTCTCCGCTTCCTCGCCTGGACACTGGGACAGTGGAGCCTCCTTCTGCAGGTGGTGGAGGGATCCAGGAGAGAGTGCTGTGGGCGCCCGTGAATGAGATGGGCCCAGGACTCGGAGGCGGCCATCAGACTGTTTGTAAATAAATGGAAACCCGATCTCCAAAGCCGACCTCACTCCTTACAGTGTCTAAACCTCACAGTGTCCTGCCGTCTGACTCTGCAGTGAGCAGCCAACACCGAGCCCCCTCCACCACCTGATCACCACAAGTGAACCTGAGCAACGCCCACGGGGCTGGCCTCTGGAGCTCAGCTACAGCCCGAGGCCTGGGGTCACCTGAGTCCTCGTGGTCTGCGTCGATCTGGGAGCTGGCAGGGCAGGAGAGGAAAGCCCAGGGGTTGGGGAAGTGGCTGCAGCCCTCGCCCCCTCCTCCGAGTCCTAGCTCAGTGCAGTTAGACCTGGGCCTGGGAGCTCAGCTCCAAAACGATTTACAATTCAATTGTGAAATGGAATACAAATTAGACATCCCTCTTTGGGCCTCTCAATTTTCTTTGTTAAAGCTCCCATTCCTCCTAGTACATTTCTCTATTTCTAGATGAGCTTTTATGTTGTGTTGACAGGTAGGGGCCGGGTCGTGGGAGGGTGGTCTGATGACTGCTCTCCTTCTTCGCTCCCGGAGAGGCTGCAGCCATGTTCACTCACCACGTGGGCTGGACCGGAGTGAGGGAGGTGTATGGAGAGGAAGCGGTCAGGTGGAATCCCAGCTTCCCCATTCACAAGCTGCGTGACCCCAGGCGGGTTACCAACATCTCTCCTTCTATGTGAAGTGGGCATCGATAATGCAGGTGCCAGGCTGGGGGCCAGGGGCGATGCCTGGGACAGCCCCGGAGAGCAGGATTCAAGGCTGTGTGTGCGTGTGTGTGTGCGCACGTGTGTGTGTGTGCATGTGCGTGTGCGTGTGTATAGGTCACCAGTGTGCGCCTCCAGAGCTCAATGCCACCTGGGACCATATGAACCAGTGCAGAATCCACATCATAGCATCACCCAACGAGAGGTGAGAGTTGGGGTGAGTGTCCATGCTTGCCCCGTGAGGGTCAAAGCTGCCCCCATGGCAGGCAACCTCTACAGTGCTGGCCTGCCCTGTGCAGGTGGCACTGGCTCATGTCCAGCAAGTGTCCTCAGGCAGGGTCCTGGGGGCTGGTGGTCAGGCCAGCCACAGGGCAGTGGTGGGTGGAGAGGGTGTGAGTGGTGTATTGGGCTGCCATCACTGCAGAATGAATTCCCACCAGCAGTGGGCTTCTAGTGGTTCATGGCTGAGCACGGCCCTGTGGGTTGCATTCTGGCACATTTTGTCTGGATACTCTGCTCAGGATCTTGCAGGCTGAAATAAAGGTGTGTCCTGGGCTGTGTTCTCAGCTGGAGCCCCGACTGGGGAGGAGCTGCGTTCAGGTGTGTCTTGGGCTGTGTTCTCAGCCAGAGCCCCGACTGGGGAGGAGCTGCATTCAGGTGTGTCTTAGGCTGTGTTCTCAGCTGGAGCCCCAGCTGGGGAGGAGCTGCATTCAGCTGCCCCATGGGGCTGGCAGAGTTGTTTCCTTGCATCTGCATGCCTGAGGTCCGTTTGCTCCCTGGCCGTCCACTGAGGACTGCTCCCGGCTCATCCAGCCCCACTACAACTCCTTGCCTATGGTCCTCTCCAAGACAGGGCATTTTTTTCACTGAGGCCAGCAGGAGGGGTCTGACATCATTTAGATGTCAGATGTAAAGGACTCATCTCCCTTTGATTATCTCAGAATTCAGATTAGAAACCTAATTACATCTGCAAAGTCCGTCAAGAGTGGGAGGAACAAGTGAGTATGATAGAAAGCACCCTTCATGGAGTGCTTCACCCTTCACCTTTCACGGAGTACCTTCACAGAGTGCCTTCATGAAGTGCTTCCGTCCCACACTGGAGGAGGTCCTGCTGGCATCCAGTATCCTGCCCACCACAGTGGGCACCAACCTAGTTTGTTGACATGGTGGCCAAACAGCAAGGTCCTTGTGGCCAAGATCTCACTGTCCAGTTGTAGAGACAAACAGAGGCATCATCAACACGAGATTCTACAAGGTCTACGCTTCAGTGGCTGTGAAGGTGAAGAGCAGAGGTCCTGAGAGAGGCTGACGCCATGCAGCATGGTCAGGGCCAGAATCTCCGTAAGAGTAACACTTTTTTTTTTTTTTTTTTTTTGAGATGGAGTCTCGCTCTGTTGCCCAGGCTGGAGTGCATTGGCACAATCTCAGCTCATTGTAACCTCCACCTCCAAGGTTCAAATGATTCTTCTGCCTCAGCCTCCTGAGCAGCTGGGATTATAGGCACTCGCAACCATGCCTGGCTAATTTTTGTATTTTTAAGTAGAGACAGGGTTTCACGATGTTGGCCAGGCTGGCCTTAAACTCCTGACCTTGTGATCTGCCCGCCTGCCTCCCAAAGTGCTGGGATTCCAGGCATGAACTGCTGCGCCCAGCCAAGAGTAACATTTACAATGAGTCCTGGAGGATGGGAAGGTGCTGGAGTTGGGGCGAGGCAGGGGAGTGTTCCAAGTGGTGACAGCATCAAACAGCCCGTGCAAAGGCCCCAAGGCAGCGAGAGCCACGTGCATCTGAGGAATGGAGGGAAGGTCAGTGTGGCTGAAAGGGGTGAGCCGTGGGTAGGGGAGGAGATGGGAGGCTCCAGGGACCGGCAGAAGCAGCCACGGAGGCCCCTCAGGGCCAATAGTGATGTGGGGGGATACCCCCAGCTTTATCTTGAAAGAACTGAATTAAGGGCCAGCCATGGTGGCTCATGCCTATAATCTAAGCACTTTGGGAGGCCAAGACAGGCAAATCACCCCAGCCCAGGAGTTCGAGACCAGCCTGGGCAACATGGTGAGACCCCCATCGCTACAAAAAATGATTAAAAAAATCAGCCACGCATGGTGGTGCAACCCTGTAGTCCCGACTACTCAGGAGGCTGAAGTGAGAGAAGCACCTGAGCCCAGGAAGTGGCGGCTGCGGTGAGCCGCGATTGTACCACCGCATGCCAGCCTGGGCACTCCAGCCTGGGCACTCCAGCCTGGGCAATACGGCAAGCATCTGCCTTGAAAAGAAACGGAATGAGATCCTGTAGGCACATCAAATACCAGCACACAGCCTGGCATTCACAGGGGCGTGACGGGGGGCAGTGGCATATTCCGAAATGACCCCATGCCCGCGTGACCCTCTCCCTAGGTGTGGGTGAGCTCTGTAACTTGCTTTAAGCTAGTAGAAAATGGCTGAGGTGAAGGGATTGTGCAGATAAATCCCCACACTGCAGAATTTAAGTTAATCAAGGGGGATGATGCTGGGTGGGCCTGGTCTAATCAGGGGAGCACCTTAGAGGCGAGCCTAGAGGCAGAGGTTTGCGGGAGCTGATGCCCTCCCTGACCTCCCTGCAGCTTTGAAGAAGGAGACGTCTATGAATTCTGCAGCCACAAGGAAACGTGTCCTGCCAATCCCTTGAGGGGCCGTGGAGAGGGGTCCTGGCCTATTTGAACTGCCCCTGCGATTTCAGCCCTGTGAGCCCCTGAGCAGGGCACCTGGCTCAGCCTTGCTTGAACTCCCGACCTACAGCAATGGTGAGGTCACAGATGTGTGTTCCAAGCTGCCGAGTGTGTAGCAGAATAACAACAGAAAACAGATACAAAGTGTAGCCATTCTTGCACGGCCTCTCTGGGGTGCACACGGGGCACACAAACAGGAGGCGGTTCCTGCTGGTCCTGGGGTCGCCTCGTACCACCATCCAGCAGGCATCCATTCATTCATTACTGCCAGTCAGTTTCGCATGCTAGCAACCCGCTGACAACGTTCAAACCCCTGCCCGTGGACCCGAGACTCGTGCTGTGTCGCGTCCACGCCACACTCGCACCGTGGCCGTGTCGCGTCCACGCCACACTCGCACCGTGGCTGTGTTGCGTCCATGCCACACTCGCACTGTGGCTGTGTCTCTCAGCGGTGCCGCCTGCTGTGCCAGAGTGCCTTCAGCATCCTCCTCAGCACCAGGCTCCGGGCAGTGGCGCCAGCTCTTTGGAGCTGGTGGAAGACGACCCTGGTCTGTGCGCCTGACCAAGACCGAGCAAAGCACTGCGTCTGGCACTGTGAAGCAGCCAGAAATGAGGGGACAAAGTCCTGGGGCCAGCGGGAGGCTCCAGGAAGGGCAGGGGCTGTGCTCTGGGCCTCAAGGAGGGATGGGGGTTTTGAGAAGAGCAGAACGAAAAGGGGAAGCAGACTTCCAGGAGGGGGACACCTGTGCCCAAAGCAAAGGGGCGGAGCTACAAAAGGGGCCCTTCCCAAGCGGGCTGTGGGTGAGTGGCAGGCCCATCTCATCCGCTCCCGGCACTCACAGGTGCGGAATTCTGATGCCGTTTACAGACGAAGAGCTGAACTCAGCCTACCTCAGTGACTCGCTCAAGGCCACTCAGCTGCTCAGTTGTAAATTTGGGGTGAAATCTAAGTCCATCTGACCCTTTAATTTGTGCAGAGAACCCGGATACCCCAGCCTCCCAAGGCCTCCTCCAGGCTGGTACAGATCTTGGGACCAAACCCAGCCGCTTCTTTCCCATCATGGGACGCAGGACCCAGGTCAGCACAGGCCCTGCCAGCGGCTCCAAGGCCTCTGTGAGTCCCTGTGCCAAACATTCCCTGGTCCTGGCCAGTGCGGCTGTCCCCTGCCTGCCACCACCCAGACCCCAAATGCCCAGACTCTGTCTGCTGTCCTGACCTCCTCCGGGAATTCCTGGCCTCCCCTTCCAGCTCTGGCAGGGAAGCCGGCCCTGGGGGTCCTGTCCCACTCTGGGCGCATTCACCTTACCCCACTTGGGAGGGCTGGAGGGACGCGCTGAGCCTGCTCAGCCCCGGGCCCTGCCTGGAATAGGTGATGGGGTGAAGGTGTTCGGGATGCTGGGTCATCTCCTGAGCTCCTGGATGGCCCCGGACATACACGAGCCTGCGCCACTGCCTGCCAGGGACCTCCAGCCAGAAAGAAACAGCGATGGCCCCGCGTTCTTCGTGCAGCCCCCACCAAGCACCTGGGTGCAGTCCTGGGAACCCCGCCTGGCCTGCAGGCCCCCAGGAAGCCTCAGCTTTGATGTGGTCCAGCCTGGCCCCAGCTGGGAGTGTCCTCAGCTGACTCAGCCTACCTGCGGCTCTGGGACAGAGGCGATGTCCCTCCCAGCCACAGTCATGGGGTCAGGGACCCCACTCTTGCAGGCCATGTACCTGGGGCCTGGTGAATTTGCCGGCACTCTGGGTGTCCTGCCCTCAGGGTGGTCTGCAGCGAGGCCCGCTCTGACCCTGGGTTACATTTCATTCTGTTTCACTCATGCACCCCGTGCCCCTCTATTTGCTCATTCTCTCCTTGGATCACGCTGTACCGGCCCAGGTCCCCACTCACTGTCGGCTGCGGGAGGCTGCGTGACGTCCCCAGAGCTCCACCCAGGCCTGGCACGCAGAGATGTCGCTGTCTGAGGACAGCGTCCTGGTTCCTCCTCTGCCCTCTCCTGACCGCTCTGCGCCTGCCCTTTGCCTGCCCGCGCCTCCTCTCCTCCTC